AATAATTTGAAAAGAAATAGAACAAGAAAATTAATAACAATTAATATTATTCTTTTCTAGAAATTTTTAATTGAAAAATAAAGAAAAATTAACTAATAATACTTAAAATCATATCATTACAGTATATATTATTATTACTTATATATTCAGTATCACAATAATAAATAAAACTCTTTTAAATAAAACTTATTATAAATAATGTGAGATTAGAATTACAATTTTTATGACAAATTCTACTTCTTTATAATATCATTATTCTTAGATATTTTATTTTAGAAACCATATACCAAATAATTGTACTTACTTTTATAGGCTTCACTCTGCTCATATATGTAATACTCCTATATCGCTAGAAGAGTGTCGATCCTTAGCCCAAACATTACGGGGCAGACGTATAATAGCCTCTCTCTCGCGCACGGTCCAGCTGCTTTGTGCGCATGCGGTTACATTTTTTAAAACAGCGTTAGGCGATATTTTCACATAATTTATATTCGTGCTCTGTGCGATGGTGCGAATTTGTTTTTGTGTCAGAAAAAGGCAGCAAAGGATGGAAGTTTATCTTCGAAATAAATACACAAAATTAATATTATTTAATCACGACTAATTGTGTAAAGATATTCATAAAAATGTAACATTATATATACGTAACCGATTAAAAGAAATTGTGGACATGAGCGCAATCTTTATTTTATCCTACATTTCACAAATTCAAAAAATCCAAGTAAAATGTATTTCTTATAATTTCACATTAAATTTGATCTAATCTAATATGTACGTCTTTTATGTATTTACTTATGTACCATCATTTCTCTTTTCTGAAAAAGATTACTGATGAGATGATTTATTTCATGAAGATTTGAAGAAATATTTACGAGATATTTTATGTTGAAATACGTCAGATTAAAGCATAAAATATTTTGTATTCCATTTTTGTCTATTTTACTCGTACAACTTTTTACGCTGAATATTCTGAGGAATCGATGTAAATTAAATCTTAGGATCGTTCCATTTAAAACAGTAATAATGACTTGCTTGAACTATCAAAAACGCTTCTACATAAAAAGATTACATTTTCCAATTCCATATCTTATTCTCGAGATATTTTAGAACGTCAATTAAATTAAAATAAAAAACCCTGCATCTATAATTTCAATCTTTCTCTTCAAATATTATTATTCGTTAATTAACATTTATCCGTCAGAGGTACGTTGCGAATAAACATTCGGGCGCGACCGGGTAATGTTTTCTCTGTTTCGCGTTCTTTCCGTTTTATTTTCTAATGCTTTGTCTCTCGCTCACACTCACTCAATAGACGCGCCTGCGCATAATGAGGCTTGACCGTCCATGCCCATATTTGGAATTCGTGCATCTCTCTTTTATGGGGCTCGTCCCTCTCATTGTGAAGATACGAGACTAGCAATATAGGAGTATTACATATATGGTTCCAGTATGGTATATAGTTCAATGCTGAGCTGAGAAGTTTATGATGATTAGGTTATGGCTTCTAAGCTGCTCGAACTCTGTGTTTACGTGTATTTTAGGCTTGTTCGTTTTAGCTGCACTGGGGCAGCTCTGGGTCTGCTCTAAACAAGATAATACAGGACAAACTATTTATCTGTCCTGTATTATCCTGTGTAGAGCAAACCCAGAGCAGCCCCAGTGTAGCTAAAACGAACAAGCCTTTTGATTATCTGAATGTGAACAAAAAGAGAGTCTTGGATACCAACCAAATCATCGTGCTTCTGTGAAGTAAGTTTATTCTCTTAAATTTCCAATTTACGTAGCTTTTTCTGTTTGTTTAGAATCATGGATCGTTTTTTTAAGTGTAGTTTAGATTTGTCACCGTTTGAAATTACATAAATATGAATAACTGTAATTAATAAGGACATTTATCTTATAAGCAGTTTTTTTATTTCAGAAACATTTTGAAGAATCACGTTTGAGACTGGTCGAGCAGATAATTGGCGAAAATTAAAACCAAAACGCCATACCAACACTTTTCGATATACCTGATCTATCTGCAATGAATAAAAATGAAACAGATGAACCAAATACAAATGCCACTGCTGAGAAAGACCTAAATTTTTAATCTTATGTTTATATTTAATCACTCGTACGATGTGTACAAGAGTATTAGTCACGTCCATAAATATAATAATAATAAATAAATGAATAAATAAACAAACAAATTAATATATCATTTCTCTTACCTTACTGTAATG